AATATAATGTTTTAATTGTTAATAATTAATCTAACTCAATTCGGTACATGCTTATCTACAAGACTATGAGCTATACTCATTTTGTGAAGGTTTATAGCTCTATCTAGTTGCTGAGGCCAAGGTATGTGGAATGAAGTTCGAACCCAAGACCTGTGGCCTGAGTTTTGGCCATCAAGGGTCAAACTTGCAGTAGAAAAGTGCTACCTGTTACATTTTATTAAAATATATGTGGTCAAGACGATTACTTGAGGGCGGAGCAATTATTTCAAGAACTGAGAGATATTAGTTGCTTGATAAGGTTGATAAGGTGTATTGATTCGAATAATTGAAACCTCTGCTGTATGTATCCAGCAATTCTTTTTCTAAAGATGTTGTGTTTACAAAAATAAAAGCAAAAAATAACTCGGACTATGTTTATGTAACCAATATATGAATTCACTGATCACTTAGTAGAGTTAATATAGGCGAGTTTGGTTTCAGTAACTCAGGTTTGAGAGGATCTTTGATTGACGGCTAGACAGTTAACCGATTTGAACGTCACTTGTATCGTAAGGATATGCCTCAGTGGTTTACACCCTTGACGTTTGATCATTTGGTTTGAGTCTTACTCTCTCGTATAGCAACTATAGTTCACACCTCCAACACAAAACTTTGAGCTGATTAGTTTGAACACTTATCGTACAAATGTATAAGTATTATTTTGCTTTGAAGTTTTAACATTATATATCTCTAAATCTCTTTATTCCTGAGTCTTCAAGTTTTTTTCGTAGTATTTTACGCTTATTACTTTTCTCTGATTGATCGGTCACTGGAGAGCAAGCATTTTCACGTTATCTAGTCCTGAGTACAGATACGCTTTGATATGATGAGTGCCAACAAACACGAAATCTATGTTAAGCAGGGCTTCCTATCGATTGCCTCCAACCAACTAACATTCTTTCTCTCAACTTGTCTGACATCGATAAAAACATCAGTTTTACATCTTATAGTCAACTTTTCTTGTTTACCTACCGACTTTTCTGTTATCACTGATTGACTGTTTACTGTCTGATATATAGTTCACAGTTATGGCATTTCAGTCTCCCCTTTTTTGTATATAAATGACTATTCATTTCATGATTGATCTGAGGTTGAATGTATGCATGAAGTCATTTGACAAGCAATTCGATTTTTTGACATTCACTCGGTTGGATTTTAGGAACAGTCACCATTTGATCATTATGTTGTAATAGTACCGAAGCTATGAACTAAATATCTAGTTTAATATACCTTAGTCGACATGATGCCTGACACGCACAGTGCGGCTTAAATTTTTGCCAACTTCTGCTCTGATGCATTACTAACTGTTTTGACCCCTACTTTATGTCAATCTATTTAAGATTTAGGGTTGCTAAAATTCCTAACCTCAGTCATGGTATGATTCACTGACTGATACTACGAGAGTATCAATCACCAACCTCCTTCATGGTATGATCCTGTCTACCTGCAGCAGTTATATCTCATGAATGTGTTAGAAAATAGGGTATCCCAACTTCCTATTTGGAAATTTTTGTGGATTTATTTATTGATTTCATGTTGATATTCATCACAGACTGTCATTTGTTGGAAACCCACAGGACAGCTGTTCCACCCCTGGTAGAAGACTTTTTAGCAATGTGTACACCCATGACCCCGCTAGAGATCGAACCCTGGATCTCCAGATTCTTTGACTAGCACGTTACCATTGATCATTTGAGTTGGAATCTAATGAAGGTTCATATTTTTCTACTCCTGTCAATTTGTGATGTGGCGTACCCTTTATCTAATGCTGTCGTTGAATGTTTGTCCTGACGTCCAACTTGGTTTGTCCCATCGGTCACGACTTTGGATAGCTAACTGGCCTCTCTGTAGTGTAATCGAATGAATATCCTGTATTCACACCGCTTGACGTCACCATGTTAAACCGTTAACCAATCATTGCACAGTGTAAGCATACTTGCAATAAATCGAGATTTTTCTCCGATAAAATCTCTTCACCTTGCCTTAACTTTTATCATATCCATCATCTAAGGCGATCATATCATATTTACATATGAAATATATAGTGTGAGTGTTTATTACATCCATTTGTGTGTCAATCTATGCATGTATGTCGTTTGCTTCGTTTAATTCAGATTAATTGTCTAAAAAACAATGCTTACACCATATATATGCTTATTTTTGTATAATGTGTACATTTGTGAAAAATACTGGTTAGTTGGCTAGTTGGCTTGAACAAGCATTCTAACATAATAATAAGAAGAAGAATAAAATTAACATTCATTTAAGAAATAACATTTTTGAATAATCCGTAAAATTCTTTCTAAAATCTAAATGTAATCGAATATTTAGTTGTCATATTGGAGTTTATGTGTGTGAACATGTGGGTATCTGTGCTCTGTGTATATGTGGGTGTACGTAAGTGAATTAGATACTCCTTATCTAGATCAGCGTATAGAAAGCAAAACCACTAATAGTGATAAATAATAATGCTGGTATACTGTACACTAATTCTAAGAGAAGTTGTATTGCCAGTTTTTTTTTAATGTATATCATAACCAATCATATTACTGTCATGAAGCATTGAATATCTCCGGTTAAAGTGAGTCACTATGTGAGGAATATTGGAGCTAAGTGAAGGGTACAAGGTGAGACAGGCAAGTTGGCCGATAAGGTTGTGAACCTTCAGCCACTGAGATAGCTTGAACATATGTTAGGCATTCCAAGCCACCGCCTACCTGGATGTGCACTGATGAGGGCAGGTGGGTTAGGTTGGAAGAGGATCTAGGGTGGCCAGACCAAGATGTGGCACCGGTGCATGAAATCCCTGACTGTTGATGTAAGCCGTGTAGAGACCTGTAGACTACCTCACTGAGGTCGTCAAGACGATAGGAATCAGTAGTTGAAAATGGTTGGTGAAATGACTGAGAATTGGTCAGAATGGCTCAGAAGTATTCACTCCTTAATGTCTATTAATGTTTGAATGTTTTGACTAAAATTCAAATGTGAACGAAGAATATTCTTTTCAATAACTTCTCATCAGGTCCTACAGTTTTGACTAACCTTCTCCCCCCCCCCCCCATACACTTTTGTATAGTTTGATATGAGTCTTTTTCTATCCGTTTTTTCTCTGTGTTACTTTGAAATGTAGCAAGTTGAACCGATACATTTGTGTATGAGGTTCGATGTTGATTTTTTTTCCGTATATCTGGTTAAAGCGAAGCAAATTAACAACGCTTATCAATAGTGATTAACCTCGGAGACAGCTTTCCTTAGTTGTGATAAGGAAGCCTGACTTCCACCTTTAACTATAGCATGCAGTACACTGAACGTGTAATGCAAAGAATTTGTATAATTTGACATTTGTTCATTGGTTCCAGTGAGTCTACAATGAGTAGTATAATTGTTATGTAGAGTTGTGCATTTATTTGTCTGTACGTTTATCTGGAGCTGAATTGTCCAGGATTCAATCATGAATACTTTAGATATTAGCTATTGAGTTCTGCTAGCATTTCGATGAGTTTTTTAATTGGTAACGAATCATCATCAAAGGTTTGTTATGTGATGACTCCTATTCTTTATTACCTAATAATGGATTACAAACCTAATTTCCTATCTATAAAGGACTAGGGGATAAGAAAATATTCATGCCAAAGTTACTTAAAAAGAATATTGTCAACTTTGTTGTTATTTGAAAGGTACAGTCAGCTAAACTCAACTAGAATTGACTACCTGAATGAAGTAAATAGCCTGTCAATTAGAGTTGCTTAACAGGCCCCTTTTTTTTTACTCATCTATTCATCACAATGCAGATTATATTGCTTTGCATTTAAGAGCTGTCGTTTAACAGCTATGCTTGGTGATATTGACGAGTCGACCTTCGTATTGTAGATCATTAACCAGCCTCCGATTGATGTTGAAAAAGATAGGTTGTAGAACTGCGATGAATCAAATAATTTCGAATGTTGCTTCCATTTTACAGTCACGTAGTCGTTAAAACTGTCTCCATTTAGTATGCTTTATAATTTTTCTCGCTTTTCTACCGGTTTGGGAATGAAATCTTTACAATATTAATTTTTTCCAAACTTTAATCATCTACGACAATTTAATTGGTTGTGACTGGCAGAGAAATCCAGTACGCGCGTTTTTTCCTTTTTGGGACTTATCAGCTGGATGTACTTGCACCCTGGTAGGTGATGTTGTTCCCACTGAGCCTCGAACCTTGTACCCATCGCTTTAAACCCCAATGTGTCATCCACTAGCCAACTGAGGCATGATAGCTACCTTTTGTATAACTGGTATTAATCATATTCGAATACAGGTCGAACAATTTTAATCATCAGCTATTGAAAACCGAGCTGAATAAAGTAGCTGAAAGATTATTAAACCCTAATATAAGAAGCCTCCAGATTTTAGGTCATGATTGCTTTTATAGCATCATACGAGTGTTGTGTGAGTACCATGTCAGCTAAGTTGAAGAGGTTAGATGTAGATTATCGAGTGGTGATAGTAGTTCAGAAATAAGGGTTGTAAACAATCCACTGTCAACTGAAGTAACTCGGACATGTGTCCACAGTTCTGATGCATCGTCTACCTTGAGACTGCATTTAATGTGAAATAGGATGAGTTTAAAATAGAGTAAATGTTGGTCGAACAAGAATGAGGCAACAATCCATGAAGTGTTTGACTATCGGTTAAATGGGACAGTGGAAGGTGATGATTGGAGACAGTCCGACTCAGAATTGATCTCAGTGGTACAAATGAAATCACACCTCATCTACGTTCTAGCCGTCATATGAAGTTTGCTTGTGTTACTTTAACCCCAGTCTGCTTTCTGTCTTTCGACGACGTAGCACATAATGCCGTTTCTTTCCCAAATTTATTGAAAACATCTTACTATTCTGATGGAAAAATATGAATATTACACCTATTACATAATGAGGATAACTGTTTTACAACTTTTTTCCACTTATTTATGACAGCAACTTACATCAGTATATGAGTAATGAAGTTCAATATGTGATTACACGTTCAGATTGGGATTCTGAATTCGATACCGTAAGTAACTTTTTGCTTTACTACACTGCTAAACAACATGAATAGTTTCTAGTTGCTCATGTTCTTCAGTTGTATATTTCGTTAGCTCATGATACTATTTTGTCAAGGATTATACCTTGGAATCTTGGTTGGTTGGTAGTTTTCAACGGAAAACTTGTCGACATCACAGTCAGTAGGTTGAAACACTACTGAAATGTGATGTCATCGTGGATGATACACTTTGTAAATAAATTTGCAAGCTGATCATCCTACTTTCTGCATTATTCGTCTGCAGGAAATTATTTAAGAGAGTAACTTATTTTGGTAACTTTACTATTATTACTACTATTACTTTTGTTATTATAATTATTGTTTAGGATAATCCCGGGTGTATTTCATACGTCAATCAGGGTTACCACTGACGTAAACAGTAAATGCAAAACTTCTGTCTGAGTTTCCGTCTTTTATGTGCTTTTAGTTAATTTTTCAACGAATAGTAACAGGGATCATTGTCTTTAGGGCTGAATGCTAACGGAAATCTGCCTGTATCAGACTATTTCATTTGTTGATTCCAATCAGGGATGTGACATTATGATTCATCGTATTTCCTGTTCTACACTTATAGGAAATAGTTTGCACAACCTTGCCCTAGATTTTTTCTCTATTATAAAGGCTCAGTATCGTAGTATAGCTGCTCCTTCTGAGAAAATATTCATACTGAACTCCTTACCATGCAACTGAACTACGAAATCTAATGATAGCCTTACAAATCTTGACGAAATTTTGCCAGAAAAGAAAAGACATATGCTAATCTGAAGGTGATTTACTCCATTAAATGACTTGAACTGGAAAAACATTGACGTTCAGAAAGCACTGGACGACTGTTCTGATCAGGTTAAAGGTCCTAGGTAAATACTTATTATTTACTTATAAAAACAAGCCTCAAAACCTTCACGTCTAATGAACAAGACATGACCATTTTTACTACCTTAATTCACTCTACATCGTCAACTACTGTTGGCTTCCTTGATATCATTACTGTTACTGATTCGTTTGAGAAAAAAACTGAGCTCCATAATTGTCTACTAGTAAGAGAAAGTGTATTTGAAAGACTCCTTGACATCTTGAAAGCCTGCTACGCAATACCTGTCTGAGTCACCTTCTGATATATTTAAACAGTTTACGTTTTGTTATAAGGTTGGTGACTTTAGACAGAACTCATCTTTCATATTATCTAGACCGCATTCGATATGAAACAGCTTCAGGCGTTTGACTACCGTTGCCTTCGTAGCATAGATAGTGTCATTGAACACCCACGTGTGCAACGTAGAAGTTAGGCTTAACATTTTAGGGAAAAGAGAAAAATCAATCAATGTGGTTGTGAACGTTTGTCAACTAAGATAGCTGGGACGCATTGCACATGCCAAGTCATCGTTTGCGTCATCGCATAATGATGCCTGAAATAGATTCAAGCTTGAAAATGGTTAGAGGCAATCAGACTAAAAAGCAGAATCAAGAGTCTATGGAGCATCTGACTGTCAGTAAGCTCCTTGGTTGCGTTCGGAGTAATAACCGAAATCGATGATTGGAGACTTTAGGCGATATAGGTGGAGACTCTAAATCGGTGTCGACATTTTTCAAAGCAAAATCCGAGTTTTTGACTGAGTAACTCAAAGCAACTTTTAACAAAACTCTTACTGAATCTTACTTTTTCTCCGGTAGAAATTTGTGGTTTCTGTACCAATTAAACCATAAAAGCTAACTGTCATATCTCCTATCACCCTAAGGATAACTTTTTCAGATTCATTACATTGATCAACTGGAATCAATTGAGAAATTCTGCTGGTCAAATCAGACAACAGCTATCACAAGTGGAAACTCTGACTTCATAATCCGTGAATATATGTCAACCAATCAATGAATATCAACGTAGAACTAGGCATTACTGCGTAACGGTCCGAGTTGCCACAGCTCGAAAGGCAGTGAGGTGGAGGATGAAGCTAAGAGGATGCAGTCAAAAGAAATATAAAGTGCGAGAAAAAAGAGGAGTGACAAAATGGTGAGATTCGGTATAGCGTCGTTAAGATGAGGATAATGTGTGTGTGGATAGATCTGCTCCACTGACATCGGTTCTGAGCCATCTCCCTAGAGTCTCCAACCACTGGTTCTTCTTGTCCCGCGGACCCTAACCACCTAGTCTGCATCGCCCTACATGGCTTAAACCTACAGTCAGAGACTTCATACATTGATGCCATGTTTTATTCTGGCCACTTCGGGCTTAGTAAGAATATATCTTGTGTTTTTGAAATGGACACAAGCAGCGATAATTATTATGGGTAAACATGATCACTATAACGAAGTAGCACCTGTAGTTGGGATATAATATTGTGGCTAATTACATCGCAAACTCTCTTCCTAAGACATTTCTTCACCTTGGTTGGAGGTGAAGTATTTCTGATCTTACACAAGTTGGTTGCAGTAACTTCTTTCTATATTCTTTGATATACAACTTATTATAACTACGTTTCATCATTTAAATCATCGCTGGCACACTAATACTGAGTATACCGCTATACCTTCATAGTAATAAGAATTCTTCAACCGTAATGGACCTGAGACTCTTTCTTAGCTGCATGTTAGCATTTTCAGTTCGTTTCCTAATGATGCCAACAATGTTGTCGTCGAATTCATTTCATAAAATGTAGGATTATCGACAGAAGACCTAAAGGTGGCATTTGATTCTGTCGACCATGAGGTGTTGTGGCAGTGTCTAACTGTGAAAGGAGTACCGAGAAAGCATATAATGCCTATCAAAGCTCTCTACTAGAACTCACACAACCGCGTAAGGGGCTTATAGAGAGTTGGCGTATCAGATCTGTTCTAGATTTCTTAATTTTGTTCATGAGTGTCTATGGAAAGTGTTTTATGTAGAGTTGTCGTGTGAATTGACGACAACTAGCACTGTCCTCTAGGGATGTCTACTATCACGGTTCCCATTTAACTTCGTTATAGACATACTAATGGACATAACCTTAGGTTCATCTTACTTCACAAGAATTGACCTACTTCCTGGAGATCGTCTGGTTGACTTGGAATATGCAAACGATATTTTCCTGCTAGGTGAAGATGCTGACAAAATGCAGGGTCTTCCGGACACGTCGAGCGGAGATCTGAGCATGTTCGGCATGCATTTCGCTGTCACCTGTCAGATGTAAGATGATGCTCCAGAACTGGTCTGCTGTAAATATTCCCGGTACAATGATAGGGAATGAAGTGGTGAAATGTTTCTACCACTTCACTTACTTTTGGAGTTACATTAGCCCGAACAGGCTCGTTGCTGACGAAATCTCAGCTTGGATAGAAAAGGCCCGTTTTGCATGTGCCAACTTGCGTCACCTGTAGTGTCGGTGAGATATCCGACTATCTATCAAAGGACGAGAATACCGTGCTGCAGTTCGTTCTGTCTTGATATATGCCTGTGAGAGCCGTTGAAAGTAGAAGACATGAAGCAGTTACAGGTTTTCGATCATAGGTGTCTTCGTAGCATTGCTCACCTTTTATGGAATTACCATGTGAGCGATTTCAAGGTCAAGCGAAGGGTACAAGGCAATGCAGGTGAGTCCATAAAGTTGTGAACCTTTATTCACTAAAATGGCTCGACATGTGTTGTGCATGACGAGCTACTGCCTTCTTCAATATGTCATGCTGGGGAAGTTGGATTAGATTGGAAGGGCATTCAGGGTGGCCAGACGAAGGCACGACACCAGTGCGTGAGGTCTCCTACTGTTGGCCTGAGCCGAATAGGGAGGTATAGACTGTCTCATGGGGTTTGCGAGAAGATAGAAATTAGTGGTTGAGGACGTTTGGTGAAATGGCTGAGAGTTAGTTACAGTGGTGTAGATGTATTCACTCTTTGATGTCTACTAATGCCTGAATGTTTTGACTAACCTTAGTTATTAAATCTCTTCTCATCCCATATACTTTTGTCTAGTTTGATATGAGTGTTTTTCTAACCACTTGCCCTTTGTATACCACTGTAAAGTGTGACAACTTGAACTGATGCACATGTGTGCGAGGTTCTGCGTTGATGTCGCCTTTCTCTCTCGACAGAAGAAAGAAATGAATTCGGATACCACGTTGCTACCATCGTTAAGAGATGAACTGAAAATGTTGGCTTGAAACTAAAGGCGAATCTCATGTCCATCACCATTGAAGCGTTCTTTCCCCGACTATCTATTAAGGATGCATTGATTTCATTCGACTCATATGTAGAGTTTCGGATACTGGATGATGATGTACTGAGCTGCAAAAGACTACAATAGTACTCAGCTGCCCAAACTTTGAACTAGTCGTGTTAGTCAATCGCTGAAGGTCATCCATCTAAATTGTTCGACTACAGTTTTACATTTTTTAGTTTTCTCCGGTTAGCATCATTCATTTAGAATAGTCGCTATTGCTTATTGTTTTCTATAAATCCTAAGGTCATGTGATTATCTTTGTTTCGAAGCCATCATTGGGGCTTACAAACAATAATGAATTCAGGTCATGACCTTTAGAATGAATAGAATAGCCGGAAGAAAAACAAACTAACAAAGCATTCCTTATTTGTTATATGCAGTATAGACAAGTTCATATGTTGACAGACATTGTCTGTTAGCACTTTGGATAGTGTTAGAGTCTTTGTTTATAATTACAATCATGATAAATATTACCGATGATGATATCTCCGTAGAATAAACATTTTATCAATAATACTCTGTTCACGCTGAATACACATTGTAAATCTCTGCTTGCTGTTTATAGTTTTGTAGCATTGATGGATAATGGCTAGCAGTGGAATCCACGACGCGCGTTTCGTCCTATTTGGGATAATACAAGTAACAACATTAAAGAAACTATACCCGTTGCACAAGAAGTAGCTATCGTAACTCAGTAGCCTAGTGGCTAACTCTGCGGCGTTTGAAGCGATCGGCCCCGGTTTCAAGTTTTAGTGGTAGACACATCAGTCTGACGAGTTCTAA